GGGGGGGGGGTGGGGGGGGGGCTGTAATAATTATTCATTTAAAAAAAATAATGAACTAATTATGTTTTAATAAAAAAAATCAAATGTCTGAACCAAAATCACCAGAATCCATAATTTAAATGTATTTCTTAGCTGACTTGGTTTAGAAAATGTAGCTTGGATTTGGTCCCATCCAACAGCCTTGCACCAGATCATAGCTTTTCATTTACCTTTACAAGGGTGAGATTTTAGTTGTATTCATTATTTTAATGATTTGATTTTTTTTTTTTAATGGCTATTTTAAGCTTGCCAGGAAAGCTCTCTCTAACTTAAGTATTTATATTCTGATCTAAAACTGAAAGCACGTTTGTTCAAATACATTTTTATTTGGTAAATAGTTTTTATACAGATTTTTACTGTATGGGATTACATGTTATCGTTTTTTATCCAAAGAGATAGACAAGAAAAGCTTTGTCTTTTTTAAGTCTTGGGAGTAATGTTCTTTGAATCGGTGTGTTAGGTAAGGTGACAGTTATCAGTGTACAGGTTTTATTGTAAAGTAAAAAGGAACATTTGTATCTATTTCTGGGGAAAAGCTCTTCTCTTATTTGGGAAAGTTCTGTCTGTGTAAATAGGCCATTTACATGTCTATGACATTCACCCATCCAATTCAGGTAAATGGCACAATTTTAACACTGTCATCACATTTGAATTTAATTGACAAAAAAAATAATGTTTTTTGCATGGTTTGTTTATCTTATGTTTGTAATGTACAAAATATCATTCTTGACATTTGTTGTTTTTTTTTATTTTTAGTATTTTATTCAATGGCATCTGTACATAGTTTGTTTGTTTAATGCAAGTGTAGATCTTGTAGTTTTAAGTAGCATGTTTGGATGTGTGTGCACCTGGTGTAAATATTCCCCATCCTCTGAGTCATTGATCACAAAGTCAAGAATAGACTGGGAAGACCAATTTCATTTTGTGAATTTTGGATTTGTTTCGTTATTGAGTAGAAAATAAGTATGTGGTGAGTAGTGATGCCTGACATGCCTGATGAACAGTGTTGCCATGCACACATTTAACAAGACTCTAGCAAGTGACCTTTGTCAAATCATATTTTTTCATCTCAACTTAAGGATTCTGCCAATCTGCAGCATATTAATCAAATGAATTCAACCAGACTTTTGGCACATACAACTACAAACAAAACAACAAAAAAACTGCATACATTTGAGAAATAAAATCCTGGTTTCCTTTGCACGATACAGCTGTTTTTTATGTTATATTTTTGTTATAGGGGAAAAGAGACACTGAGATTATTGTACATGTTTGCAACCATTGTGTCATCTAAACGTGATGGTAGTAGTAGTGTAAGATTGGTCCTAGTAGTGTAAGATTAGACTGTTATTTTTAGAGTATAGGTGCACTCACAGTTTGTGTTATGCTGTCCCAGGTGTGCGACCCACGAATGTTTGTATGTAGAGATTGTAGAAAGCGTACATTATGATATGACAATTTGGAAGCTGGAGTGTGTCCCTGTGAGAACAAATGGCGATCAGCTCACTCATCTTAACACCCACTTTGTACATATGTTGATTTGATAATTAATAAACCTTTATATTACATCAATTCTCAAGCAGCTTCATGTCATTTACTTTGTGGTGTCCATTGAAAGGATCAGCAAACATCAGCTGAACCATAACTACCAACCATAACAAATACAAACTTAATGTTGTGTCCCCCCCATACTGTTGTGTCATCAAACATCTGCTGAACCATAACTGCCAACCATAGCAACTACAAATTTAATGTTATGTCCCCCATACTGGTGTGTCATCAAACATCTGCTGAACCATAACTGCCAACCATAACAAATACAAACTTAATGGTGTGTCCCCTGTAATGGTGTGGTGTGCAGCTTAGTAATTTTAGAAGCTTACTCTGCACATCAGTGGTTGCCAAACTTCATTACACTGGTCCCCATATATATAAAAAACTATATTCACCTCATTCAAATTCAAAAAATTATTGCCACACTCTTTATTTTTTTTAATAAAACAGACATACAGTAGGCAAATAGAAATAATACAGACACATATAGTAGGCCAATAGAAATAATACAGACACATATAGTAGGCCAACACAAATAATACAGACATATAGTATGCCAATAGAAATAATACAGACATATTGTAGGCCAAGAGAAATAATACAGACATTTAGTCGGCCAACAAAAAT